GTAGTCAACACAAACTCGCCATTTGCCATTCTTCTTCGGTACCACGATAGTGTTGGAAACTCACTGAGGGTAGTGCACTTCCTGGATTGCCCTTGCTTCAAGCAAGTTTTTGACCTCCTCTACCACAACCTCGGCGTGATGAAGAACTGATCTCTACGTTTTTTAAATGATAGGTCGGGTGTCTGGAAAGACGTTGAGTTGGTGGAAAATAAAGTTTGGATCGACTCCAGGCATGTCGTTAGGCGTCCATGCAAACACTTTGATATTTGCCACCAAAAACTCCACCATCTCTAGCCGTTCTTGGGCGGTTAGGTTGGATCCTAACAGAAAGAACTTCTCAAGATTAGCTTCGTCGATCCTCACCTCCACCAAGTCTTCAACAGCCTTTTATTCGGCCTTGGTACCCATATCATCCAGGACGTTTTGATTCTCCGGTCCTTCAATCATTTGTACGAATCCTTTGGCTGCGTGGCTCTCATTAACGGACACAAATCACTGCTTCGCCATGATTTGATTGCCCCAGATTTCTTCAATCATCCCCTCAGTTGAGGGAAACTGCATGACTTAGTGGTAGGTCGAAGCCACTGCTTGCATGGCATGAAGCCATCCTCGGCCTAAGATCAGGTTGTATGTGGAAGGCACCTTCAACATCCAGAACTCCACCTGCTTGACCATGGTCCTTGCTTTGACCAGCAAAATGATCTTTCCCATGGGCCACTCTAGTTGCGAGTTGAAGCCGACCAATGTCGAGGTTGTAGGGGCTAAGTTTTTATCAGTTAGCTTAAGTTGCTTGAAGGCATTGTAGTACATTATTTTGACCTAGCTACCCTGGTCGATTAGAATGTGCCTAACCTCAAAGTCCTTGATGTGAAGGGTGACCACCAGCATGCCATTGTGCGGCGTTTGAATTCATTCAAGATCCTGGCTTGAAAAGCTGAGCACATCTTTCACCTTGGTTTTGCCTTTCCTGACCATGGGCTAGACAGATAGGACTTCCCTCATATGCTCTGCTTTTTTGATCATCCCTCGAAACTCGCATATCTACGCTGGCTTGACGATGCCGTGGAACACGTTGATCACGTTATGTGGGGGCGCTTCTAGGGCGGCCAAACCATTCAGCTCAGCCAGGGCATAGGGTGCGGCCATGACACTTCCATCAATGTAACGGCCCAAGAGTCCGGTGACCACTAACTCCTTCAAATGCTATTTCAGAGGCAGACAGTCCTCGGTGCGGTGCCCTCGCTTGCCATGAAAGGTACAATGATACCGCGGATTGAAACCCTTCTTTGAGTCACCCAACTTAGCCGGAAACCGGACGTACACCTAGTCGCGAATTTTGCTAAGGATGTAGTAGATTGAGATCTTGAAAACTGTGGTGATGCCTGTCTGGGTGTTCAACCTTCTCTTTATGTCTGCCGCGGCATCACGAGGATAATCATCTCGATCGGAGCAGCGACCTTTACCCCGGTTGTTGTGATCTGTACTGTGGTTTGACTCTATTGCGAGGTCACTCGGACGGTTTGTGTCCTGTCCAACCGCGTGAACCTTTCTAGCCACTTTTTTGTCTGCTGCCAATGGATTCACCTTCGTGGTTGCTGAGGTAGAATCATCCTCTACTCGAATGTGCTCGTTGATGTGCTGCATCAATAACTCTATGGTCGTCGGTTGGTTCATGGTAAGCGAGTCCCTCAGTCTATGGCCGACCGAGAGACCGCACTTGTATTAGGCAATTGCTAGGTTGGTCGGGCAATCAAGAATTTCATTAAAGGTTTCCCAATACTTGGCATTGTATACTTTGAGTGAGTCACCCGATTCCATCTTGATGCTTAGAAGGTGGTCAACTTCTTTCGGCGTTTTTGTGTTGGTTTTGAATCGAGTCACAAACGCTTCCGCCAACTGCTGCCACCTTTTGACACTTTCCTCTGGTAGCTTCTTGAACTATTTTAGGCCCAACTCGTCCAAACTTGACGTGAAAATAAGGCACATAAGAGCATCATTACGCCTGTAACTAGCCATAACTTGTCGGAAATGGCTCATGTGTATATATGGATCGGTTTTTCCGTTATAGAGCGTAAACTTGGGCTAGTGAAAGCCCGTAAGGAGTGGTGTGGGCTCTATCTCGAGGGAGAAGGGGGTCGCACTCAGCCGTGCCAAATCTCTGTCCAAAGGAGCATGTACAGTTGGGAGAAGTGGCGACATTATGACTTCCTTAATGGCGCGACCTCCGTGGGATAACTACTGCAGCGTTAGCACCCTTTGTGCCTCTCGCCGGCTCGCTCGCTCCTCCAAGACGTCCCTTAAGTCCTCCGAATAGGCGGACTAGGAATATCTCGATATTGTCGACGAATGTGAGGGACAGTGACTGCTGTCTTGCGCACAAGACTTCTCTGCTGGCGGGTTAGAGTCACTAACTCCATAACTTCTAGTGATGGAGAGGGATGGTGTCTATCTTTGGTTCTGGCTGCCTAAGCGACAGGGTTAGGTGCGCCTACTGTGGTTATCTACTCCAGCAACACCCTTCCCTTTGACCTGCCATTTTAGTGCCTCCATCTTCACTGTCATCCTTTGAATGATGATGTCTTGATCTCTCAACTTATGCGCCAGGCGCTGAGCGTGCGATTCTCTTCGTCGCCGGTGCCCGTCGGGGCTTCGCGAGTGATCAATGCTTCTTGCGTGCTTGTCTCACGCATCTTTAGGGAGCCCCCTAGGAGAGGTCTCCAAACCTTCCATGGTAGGGATGGCGGGAAGGCCATCTCTTCTCCGAACGGACTTCGGAGTGATGCCTTCGATGACAGACAATGGGATGTCGTCGTTGTTTGCCATGGAAGATGATCGGATGAGCTTGGATGACAAGGTTTTATCTATCAAAGCTTCCCACAGACGGTGCCAATTGTATGGGGGCCAAATATCTGACGTAGTCCGTACTCTTCGTGTCCAAGCTGCGCCTCCCTCCAATCGACCTGAGAACACAACGAAAGTGAGTTACCCGGTGGTGTCCTACCTGAAAACCCCTCCAACGGTCAAGTCAGCACACACTTAGAGAGAGAGAGACAGAGAGAGAGAGAAAAGATAGAAGACAATGTGGTAGTTGAGCTCTCACCAGAGGATATTCTATCCCTGTGTATGGAGGCACAGCCTTGTTTATATAGTTTCTGCGTGCGTTTTTGCCCTCATTTCCCTCGGGACATGTGGACCTGCTCTCCTCTCATATTTCCCATGTGTCAGTGCTAAAACAGCTAAACACCACCCAACGAAACCGCCAAGCTGAATTAATGCGTATGAACCACGGAGCCTCCCTCCTGCAATCTTGCTGTGCCGTGTAGTACTTCCAACCAGCTACTCTCAGCGTAGTGCCACGCCTTAATGATACAACCATTCTACCTGATCGGCTTCCTTGATAATCTCACCGTGACGTAGCCGAGCTCTTTAGTTCTAACCGAGCTCCTGCTCGGTCGGCCTGATCTTCGAAAAACTAAACCCGTCTAACTCGGCGGAGCTTATATGTTCAATTGGGCTAGCGGTCTTAAGTTACTCCGGTTAGACCCGTTTAGCTCGACTCAACTTAGCTCGGCCTACATTAGCTCAACCCAATGCCAATTTATGAAATCTCCCTCTCAAAGCACAAGTTTTTCAAGTACTTGGTTTGTTTGATAAATTTACTAATAATAGCATAAGCTTTCGAAACAATAAGTGATTTTAGGAGGCCCTAGGTTATTATTTTGTTTTCCTTTGTTATGTTTGTGCAATTGTTGGATTCTATTTGTGATTTATCTGTGTGTCTCTCCACTTACAAGATAGGGTCATGATAGCTTGATATACATTGTTGGATTCATTTACCAATGGCTTAATCTTTTGGGATGATTGGTGATCTAACTAAGATGAAGAGAGGAAGATGGTCGTTTGGCTATGCTGTTTGAGTTTCATAGAAAATGGAAAACTACTTCTAGAGGTTTTAGGTATGAGTCTTCCTCTAAAAATAAAAATTAAAAATTAAAAAAATTAAGAAAAATAAAGAGGTTATCAAAATTTTCACCTAGAATCAACATTAAAATAGTTTGAAAAGGTTTCAATATAAGTGTAAATGATGTACATCCATATTGATTCTTAAATATCCTGATATGTCTAATGATGGAAGAACACAGGGACGCCTTAGTTACACAAGGCCACAACTCTGTTGAACACAATGCCAAAGCATCTTGGTGGTCTGCCCAAAGTGCAATTTCTGAGTTAGCTAGCTTGGAAAGGCAGGATTAAATCCTCTGATTTGTTGTTTAGGATTGGAGTGTTGAATCCCGATGCCAATACATTATGTGTGTTTTGCAAATTTGAAGTGGAGACCATAAATCATGTGCTACTACATTGTCATTTGATATGGAGAGTTTGGTCTGATATTGTGAAATGGTGAAATTTGTATTAGGTCATTCCTGGTTTAGTGGAGGAACTCCTACATTGGTGGTCAGGTATACAATATAAGGTTCAGGTGGAGAAAATTTGGAAGGTGTAAGTTTTCTATAATGAAACTGTATATTTAATTGTGTATCTTTACAAGGAGGTCACCAGTTTATATAACCCTAAACCTATGGCTGAAAAAGGAAAATACGAAAAATGAAATACAGCCAAATAGTTACACCACAATCTTTCCTAATTCTATACACAATACAATCTTCCCTAATTCTGTACACAATATATTCTCACACTCTCACTCAAACTCAAGGTGTTTTAGTAGAAAACACTGAGAGTTTGCTAAGAAGAAATTGAAATCGAGCAGTTGTGTGAGTCTTCGTAATGAAATTAACAAGTTGTAATGCCGAAGAAACGAAAGGAAGCGAGATGGAACTAGACTACAAATGCTGACAGATAAAATGACAATCAATTTCAATGTGCTTCGTCCGCTCATGAAAGACAGTGTTATGTGCAATCTGAATAGCACTGCGGTTGTCACAGTAAAGGGAGGTCGGAGAAGACTGAGGGACACCTAAATCAGTCAAGAGACAACGAAGTCAAACAATCTCAGTAGTGGCATGAGCCATAGCACGGTACTCAGCCTGGGTAGTGGAACGCGCAACAACAGTCTGTTTCTTGCTCTTCCAAGAAATCAAGGAATCACCAAGAAACATACAGAAGCCAGAAGTGGACTTGCGATCAGTGACATCACCAGCCCAATTAGAATCAGCATAAGCTACTAAGTCCAAAAAGAGGAAGTAGAAGACAATAATAAATCCTGAAATATAGTACTCTGGAGATAGTGAAGAATTTGAACCAAATCAGCCCAATGTGTAGAACAAGGAGCGAAAACGAACTGACTAACCACATGAACAGTATAGGCCAGATCATGACGAGTAACCGTTAAATAGAATAAGCAACCCACAAGCTCTCAATATAAAGTAGGATCATCGAGAAGAACACCATCAGAAGGGGTGAGCTTCACATTAAGCTCAATAGGGGCATCAGAAATCTTAGTTTTAGTAAGACCGGTACGATGAATAACGTCATTGGCATACTTGGCTTGAGAAAGAAAGTAGCTTTTGGGAGAAGAAGCTACCTTAATAACAAGAAAATACCGCAAGGGGTATAGATCCTTCATTTCAAAAGTACGGAAAAGATGCTGCTTGACTTCAAAGATAGTAGAAGAGTCAGGGCCAGTGATGATCATATCATCCACATACAGTAATGAGGCAACAAATCTAGCAGATGTATGGAGAAGAAATAAGGCAAAGTCTTGAGCACAAGGATGTGTTTGTTTTAGAGAAAATCAAAACTTAGAGAATGACAATAACATCATCCCCTTTTATATTCATTAACCAACAGTTACAAGGAGAGTCATAAGGCACTAATCAAAGAATACAGAATAATTTAAGTAAGGAAACAAATAATAGAAATATTCTAACATATATTCTAACACTCCCCCTTAAGCTGGTACAAAGATATCTCTCATGCCCAGCTTGTGAAGAATATCATGAAATGGTTTACTCCCAACTCCCTTGGTGAGGATATTTGCAAGTTGTTCACCAGATTGCACAAATGGAGTACATATTGTGCCACTGCTGAGCTTTTCTTTGATGAAATGACGATTAATCTCAACATGCTTTGTTCTGTTATGTTGAACCGGATTATGAGCTATGTTGATGGCAGTTTTATTATCACAATATAGTCGCATGGAGTCTGTCTGGGCAATTCCCAAGTCATGCAACAACAACTTGATCCACAAGAGCTCACACACACCTTGTGCCATAGCTCTAAACTCAGCTTCTGCACTAGACTTGGCAACCATGTTTTGTTTCTTACTTCTTCACGTAACCAAATTGCCTCCAATAAAGGTACAAGACCCAGAAGTGGATCTCTTATCAATGATTAATCCTGCCCAATCAGCATCCGTATAAACTTTCATACTAAGATGATCATGTTTAGAAAAATAAAGACCTTTTTCAGGAGAAGATTTCAAATATCTCAAAATTCTCATAACTGCCGCCAAGTGTGTTTCATGAGGAGCATGCATAAACCAGCTGACCACACTAACAGCAATAGCAATATCAGGATGAGAATGAGATAAGTAAATAAGTTTACCCACTAGCCTTTGATAACGCTCCCTGTTAACAACTGCTTCCCCATTATCATCACAAAGTTTCTGATTAGGCTCTAGCGGTGTGTCACAGGCTTTGCTTCTGAGCATTCCTGTTTCCTTTAATAGGTCAAGAACATATTTTCTCTAACAGATGAAAATTCCATCTTTTGACCTAGCCACTTCAATTCCCAAAAAGTACTTTAGGTTCCTCAAGTCTTTGATTTCAAACTCACTCGCCAAATACTTCTTCAACAAAAGAATTTCCACAACATCATCTCCTATAAGAACTATGTCATTCACATATATAATGAGAGCTGCAGTCTTATCATGAGAGGAATGTTTAACAAACATAGTATGATCAGCCTGACTCTGTTTGAAGCCATATTTCAGCATGGCCTGAGTGAACCTTTGAAACCAAGCCCTAGGAGACTGTTTGAGGCCATATAATGACTTCCGAAGTCGACACACCTCACCCTGAGTTTGAAGAGTTTCAAAGCCATTAGGAATATCCATATACACTTCCTCTTCTAAGTCACCATGTAGGAAAGCATTCTTCACATCAAATTGATGAAATGGCCAATCCAGATTAGCTGCCAGAGAGAGAAGTACTCGGACTGAATTCATCTTCGCAACTGGTGCAAATGTCTCTTGATAGTCCACCCCATATGTCTGAGTAAAACCCTTTGCCACAAGTCGAGCTTTATATCGCTCAATGGAACTATCTATCTTGTGCTTCACAGTATACACCCATTTGCATTCCACAGTTCGTTTGCCCTAGGTAGCTTAGTCAAATCCCAAGTGCAATTTTTATGAAGTGCTTTCATTTCCTCTACTATGGTCAGTTTCTACTTAGGAATGATAAGAGCATCCTGAAAATGATTAGGTATACTAACAGAGGAAATTTTTGACACAAAAGCTTTATATGAAGAGGACAAATGAGAATAAGACACAAAGTTAGAAATAGGATGATGAGTGCAAGATCTCACACCCTTTCTCTTGGTAATGGGTATATCAAGATCAGTAGGCTCAAACTCAGAGGTAGCAATACCAGGAGTTTTAGGGTTGCCTGGATCTTCATCAAGAGAAGGAGACGGTAATGATTGATCAGAAATGGTCTCTTGTATAAGTAACTTTTTTGTCTTTCTTTATCCCTGGCATAGACCTGTCTTTCTTTGTTCTTGGCAACATCAGATTCAGTATTGCTAGTGATAGATACCATTGGAGGTGGTACTGGACCAGGAATAATAGAAGCAACTGGACTCTTTTCATGCCAACACTCCCTCTGAAGAGATGCCGAGGACACTGGACTAGAGAATAAGTAGGATTGAGACCAAGGTTTTAAAAAGCGGCCGCAACCGTTACGTAACGGTTGTAGTAGTTATCGGCACCCGTTACGCCGCTTTTGCAGTGTGATTGAGATTCACAGATGTATTGGCCATAGCAGCTGCTATAGCGGTCGTAACGGTGCCATAACGGCCGTAACGGCCTGTTACGCACCGTTACGTAACAGTTCCGAATTGCTTCTTTCGAAAAAACACACAAAAAAAAAAGTTAAAAATGAGGAAAGAGAGGTAGAGAGAGAAGAGGGAAGATGGAGGAACAAGAGATAGAGAGAGAGAATAGGGAAGATGAAGAACATGTTATTCCAAGAAACATACAGAAACCAGACGTGGACTTGCGATTAGTAACATCACTAGCCCAATCAGAATCAACATAGGCCACCAAATCCAGAGAAGAAGTAGAGGACAATAGTAAACCTTGAAAGATAGTACCTCAGAGATAGCGAAGAATCCGAACTGTAATGGCCCCAAAATGCATGTTACAATTATCCTTATTTAATTATGCAATAATATGAATTAATTGGAGAATATCTGTTTGAATTGGAAAAATATCTGTTGAGGTTACAACTTCGGGACTGAAATTGACAACCATAATGGGTTTAGAAACTGAAATTGAGCACATAGATTTGCTACTATGAATTTTCAGAGCCATTTGGGAAGTTTAATTGAAAATTGATTTCGTTTGATTCACTAAGCCATGTTTGGCTCAACCTTAGACAATTATATATAGATATAGATATGGGCCCTTGTTTGACTTAATACAAAAAGAAGAACAAATCTGAGGGAGCGAGAGAGAGAGAGAGTTCTAGAGACTAAGAGAAGAAAGGAAGAGGAAGAAGAAGATCAAAGGGGGATTGAAGCCAAATCTCCACCAAACTAAGCATCTAAGGTGAGAATCCATCCCTAATTTCTTGTAGCTAAGTGGAATTAAAGAGTTGAGTAGTGTAAGTTGTTGTTTGGAACTCACTTGAGTTGAAAGAGAGGACTTGTAAACATCCATGACATTTTTCATGTTTGTATATCATGTTTTCTTGCATGATTGTCATATTTGGGGAGGAAACTCCATGGATTTGTTACCATGTGCATAGTTGTTGATTTTACCTTTTACTCAAAGTTTTGATCTTTACATGGAAAATTGAGTTTGGTTTTAAAGTGATGAGTTTATTTGAAGTTAGGAAGTGTTCATTCAACATGTTTTTATGGGTTTTGGGCCTTGAAATGTATGAATTTAAAGTTGATTTGGCAAAGGAATGAGTTCCCACTGAAAGTAGAATTTTGAGCTGTTTTTTCACCCAGACCACTCGAGCAGCCTGGGCCACCGCTCGAGCGGCCAACCTTGTTTTGGCCAAAATGCATTTTGAAGTTCCACCGCTCGTGTGGCCAAACAAGGCAGATTTTCCATTTTTTTTTTATTTTTTGTTTTTTGTTTTTTGTTTTTTGTTTTTTGTTTTTTGTTTTTGTTTTTGTTTTGTTTTTTTTTTGTTTTTTGTTTTTTGTTTTTTGTTTTTGTTTTTGTTTTTGTTTTTGTTTTTGTTTTTGTTTTTGTTTTTCTGTTTTCTGACTTCCGGGCCTTTATTTACATATTTTCACATGTCATTTACATCTATTAGCATCTCATAAGCATGAAATAAAGTCAGAAAAGAATAGAAGTAACTGAACGATTGAGTAGCAAATAACCGAATAAAGTTAAGAATCAACTAAATGACTCGATGTCGATGTGTATTGAGAAATTGTGCTATGAATATTTGTATTTGTAGGTCAAGACTTGAAGATTGTACAACCGGTTTTGGAAGCCCACTGTGAGTAACATTTTTGTAAATATATGTTGTTATAAATTATGTTTTAACTGTTATGGATAAGCTGTGATTTCTTGAAATGCTATCTTGATTATGTGAACGAATATTCTATTTGCGAATCTAATATGGCATCCACGGATAGTCCCAAGTCATGGGGGATGGCACATTAGTGCGGGTCCATGATGTACATGTGATACGAGATCTCGTTAGCCATTTCATTGTGGTGATATGTGTTTAATCGATATCCGGAACCGATTACTCTAGTCAGAAGACGATCTATGTGTTATGTCTTGTGAAATGTACCATTGTGTTATGTACTGATATGAATGATTGTGACATGATTTGTTTTACGAGTATGTTATATGTGGGATTCGTTCACTAACTCCTTTACTTTAATGTTATTCACTGGGCTTTAACTCATTGTTTTTATATATATGAATAGGTGAACATTCTGGAGGACAAGCCTGGGAGGGGTCTTTAGCCGAGCCACCTTTTTGAAGCCTACCAAGTGTTTTGGGTGCCTTTGAGTTGGGGCTAGGCCTGGAAGGCCGTTAGCAAGCTTTTGATTTTGACGTACACCTTTGACCCGTGCATATGTTTTGTATAAGATATTATGATGTACATTATGTAATGTAAGTAGGTAAATTAACATTTTTGGATGTACATATTTTTTTATATAGATGCACAGTGCATTGGACTATTGGTGTTTTTGTCTATTGCTTCCGCAAGCCCCGATTATTTTTATTTGTACATGAAGGCCTTTGGTAATCCAAGGATTACTGGCCGGTTATGATGCCAAACTTTTAGGGCAGGTTTGGGTCGTGACACGAACCAATACAGCCCAATGTGGCGAGCGAGGAGCAGAAACAAACTGGCTCATCCTATGAACAACATAGACAAGATCAGGACGAGTAACTGTTAGAGAAACTAAGAAACCCACAAGCTCGCAATATAA